AGATTAGAGTAAACTTAAGTGGATCATGTGGATTACCACGGGCATGTGGGGTGTTAATACCTTCCCCTCGCGTAACCGACTTCTGTACTTTTTCTCTTGGTCGCAAGACCATCTTATCCATTCCTTTGGGGTTCTCTCGATATCTTCCATTCCTTAGGGATAAATAGAGTTTGTTGGTGACTATGTGTTTTTTTCGCGGCGCGACACCTTGTCTTCAGATTTGGAAGCAACAGCTTATCTGAGGAGAAAAACTTGACTTCTGAGATGGAAGAAAAAGCTTACATGAGAAGTACATTTGATTTTGGAGCTTTGAAGCATAAGCTTGATTTCTAATCTTTGAAGCATAAGCTTGATTTCTAATCTTTGACGCATAAGCTTGATTTCTTATCTAAGCTTTATTTCTGATAAGCTTTTGGAGATCATTATCTAGCGAGCATTCAACATTCATCAGAACTGCTAATGTTTCTTTAGAAGTGGATGAAATAGTACTTTCTGAGGCGTGTCAACAAAGATTCTAATGATCTTATCTATAATCAAATAGAATATTATATCTGCACACTTAAAGAAACTATTAGATGACAAAATTGTTACATATAAAATATATGCATTATTATCATCAAAACTAGAGGCTATACGCAGAACTAAATATTTTTCTAACAGTATGCTTATATGGCTTCTTCATTGAAGGTTCTATACTTATTCTTGAGGAGGAACGTGAATATCTCAGTCTCCCCGGGACTTTGAGGAGGAGTTTGGGGTCCCTGCTCTTTTGGTGATTTATAGATTTTAGAGCTACGTCTCTCCACGACATGGCCTGCTCAGGGATGATAGTTCGAATTCTCTTAGAAGCGGATTCCTGCACGGTGTTCCTCTTTGAAGGTGCATTAGGTAAGATTTATTCCAGGAAAATCAATATTTCTTATATCGCTTGCGATTTTTGCTGTCAAACTATATTATACATATTGTTTAACAACTCGTTTGGACTTAAATTCGGAGACTAGCCTGTAACAACTGGGAACTAGATAAGCTTTTGGTCTTAAGGTTGATGATGGTGTTGGAGGTCTAAATGAAGGTTCTCCTTGTTGGAAATGCAAAGCAAAATCCTACAATATGAGGAGGTTAGAGAAAATATGGATGTAACTGAGTGTTTACGACTGCCTAATCCACATTACCTTGAGGAAGAGACTGTTGATTTCTTGCGACTTGAGCAACAACAACAACGGCGACAGCTTCGCGCCAAGTGGCTGAGTAAGTGGCTTTATATCCAGCCATTTATAGAGGATCTAGAGATTTGAGAATTCTAAAAATCAAAGTTGATATATTATCGAAATAGATCAAAAATAGCAAATATGAGGTTCGATTTCATGAACTCCAATCGACTGGGTCGGAAAAGCTTCGAATTAGGAATTGAAGTAGGGGTATTTAATCGTGGAAATGTGGGAATTAAAATTTGTTTCCCACATATTGTACCAATGTTCTGTTATGGAACTAGAATTGATAGGAGAATGGAGCTAGTGAGATGCATTAGTGGACTTGAACTTCTGATGCGGTGAAGGAGGAACTGGCCTGCAAGATTGACACACCAACACTCAAGTTAGAATGTGAGTGAGACGAGTTAATGAAGTTTGAATATTAAATTATCTATCTGGAGAATGACACACTTTAATTTATATAGTGAAGTTGTATTAACCACCCGCTAGTTTTTTCAGGCATGGGATACGCATAATCGTTGAATGTATCTTGAACCTGAATCTCCTATGCTCTTCCCTAGGGTAATGCCCCTACGTTGCAAGCGCTTGAACGAATTGTTGCTTTTTCTAGATCGCGTCATTGACCCTTCTAGCCGACCCAAAACAATCGTGTATAGACAGTCTACAAGACAAATTGGTCTATACTCATATAAAGATTTAGGATTATTAGGTTTTAGAACTAAATTAATGGAAGAAATACGTTTTGATGAAATTCGCATATGGATGAAATCACATCTTATTTTACTATTTTCCACTCTTGAATGAATTTGGGGTTGAATCTTCTGGGACTTGGACTTTTTTTTTCATCACAACCCTAAACTACTTTCTTTACCTCTCTTCGAAAAATGACGCCAACAAATCATTATCTGAGATATGGTTTTAAATGATTCATCATCTAGAACAAGCCTGATGTGTTTTTTTCTTTAAACAAATATGAGAAGTGCCCTTTAACATCCTATTTCACATTTTTTGTCCTTCCACCCATTCACTCTCTTTTTTGATTGCTAACTAATGATTTCTTCTCATTTTGAACATTAGACTAGTATGAAAAAAATTGTATTAACATCACCTTCCAAAATCTACTTTTGTCTCGATTTTAGTCTAATGAGGCTCTTTGTGACGAATTTGCTGTCAAAATTTTGTCTCTAACTCTTTCTTATGCTTCCTCACCTTCTCCAACTTCATACTCTATCTCATTTAGATCTTTAACTGTGTTATCAATTGATAAATTATTTCAGCCAAATATTTCTTCTTGGCATGTTTCTTTTAGCTTTAAAAAACTAGATTTTTTTTTGTATTTTTTAAAATAATTTTTTTTAAATGTTTTTCAAAATATTACAAAAAATTTTAAATTTGTTTTTTAGAAATTGAAAAATTAGTTTTAACATCCTATAACATAAATATAAACTATTGAAAATCAAAAAATAGTCAAAATCATAATTTTTTTAAAATTATATTTCAAAAATATTTTTATAAAAAGTTATTTGAAATAGCTCAAAAACAAATTATGTTTTGAAATTTTAATATCAAATAAAAATTCAATAAAACTATAAAATGTCTAAAATAATATTATAAAAATATTTATACCAAATTTTTATTTGAAATTTTATGAATAGTTTTTTTTTTTAAAATTTTTAACAAAAATATATAACACTAAAAATAATTTAAAAAACTAAAACAAGCAAACCCATTTGAGTTTGTCATTAAATAATTTCAATTTCTCCTTAATCGGAAATGCCTTCTTGTCTCTAATGTTGAATGAATTCCAACTCTCTTTTACAAATTGATTAAATGGAATATCTTCCAATTACCGGTTATTAAATTTGAACAATTTTAGGTCGCAATTCTTGTCATCGCAAAAAAGGCAAATTGGACAATGATTTGAGATATTTTTTGTTGCCATCCATTGAATTGTGACCCCCCATTCTTCAATAATTCCTTTTGAGATAATAAATATGTCAATTCTACTCGTTGATTTCCCATCTGGTCCAATCCAGGAGTATTATTTTGCCTAGAACTAGAACATCAATCAGTTCCATATTATTTATGAAGTCGCCAAACTCTTCCGTCTTATAGGTTTTGTTATATACCGTTGAGCCGCTTCTCGCACTATATGAAAGGATTGCATTAAAGTCTCCTCCCAAGCACTATTTCTCACTAGGGAATTGATTCTTTCTATTCAACAATTCTCCCACAAGATTCTTTTTAGTTGTAACTAGCAAGAAGATAGAAATTGTTAATGTAGTATCAGATTTCACTTTCCTATTCTATGTAAATTCCTAAATGGCCTTTATCTGAAAATTCTGATTTCAAAGTAAACCGATCATTTTTCGAGTAAACCACCTAAAAACCCATTGGATAGCTTTTCTATCCAACACACATTGGTAACAACTAAAGAAACTCGATTCTGAGGCTTTTATACTTTATCTTACATCATTATTTTTTTTAAATAAAAAATGTACACCTTTAAATACTAAAATGAGTTTATTTTAATATGAATGAATGAAACAACTCACAACCACTCCTAAAGAATTAATGAACGTCTCGAATGCTTTAAGAACTTGGAAGCACATCAACAACATGGACCATATTGTAAACAATGGAATGAAGCAACCTAAATTGCACATGACATACCTTCATATCTTTTGTTTTTGTACAAAATATATATAAAAGATATATATTAGATTTGATGCAGTAGGATAAATAATTAAATCAGTGATAAAACTTTATAAATATTACGTTAGATTAAATTAGCCTAAATTGTTCAGAAACTATTATAATTTAATTTATTAATTTATTGTCTTTTTAAAATATATATATAATTGCTTAATTTAGTATCTATTATTTATTTAGTTATTATCTATTTAATCCTACTGCATAAACAAAATACTCCTCTGTCATATTTAGAATAATTATTTATCCAAAATACTTCTCATTTATTAACAATACACTTTTATTTTTATCTTCTAATTATATCTTTTAATAAATACTCTTACTTTATTATTTTCTCACTTAACATTAATGTTAATTTATTTTATTATTTTCTCACTTAACATTAATGTTAATTTAAATATATCAATAATTAATAAGGATAATTTGATAAAACTAATATTCTCTCTTTCATTTATTATAATTTTTTAATAGGTGTGAAAACCTAACTGAAAATTATTTTGGGACAGAAGGAGTAATATACTAAAATAAATAAATAAAAGTGGTATCTATTTAAATTTAATAACATAATTTATCAATTTACTATCTATTTAATTGTACTGTATTAATTAAAATACTAGTAAATTTTCTAACTTTTTAATATATTATTGAAAATAAAATTTAATAATAAATGAGTATATTGCACTATGGATCTTTAAATTATTAATTATACGACGGTTTGATTTCTTAATTTACTTTTGTAAAACTAAAAATCAAATATACTTATTAAAATTTACTACTTCTATTGATAATTTTACAATGAAGCTATCGATAAATTTTTAAGTTACTTAGAAATACTGCACTATTTAAACCAACAAACTTCAAAATGCCTACTAAAATTACCAAAAGGATCGTGACCATAGCAAATGCAAGATTCTCATCAAGACTTAAGGCACTCCTTCCCTACTTGTTGAGCTTTTACTAACCTTGGTAAATTTCAGGGAGCAAAATCAATTGAGTATCCCTGATAAAAAGCTCCTTCACTTTTCTCAACACAAACAGAACCACAGCTAATTCTTCTATACAATAAAATGTGTGATCCTATTGTGTAGCTGGTATCAATTTTCGACCGTGTGAGGCAGGATTGTTTTTTATCCTCGTCCCCTTTTTGCCTGTGAGCAAATCATACATGCATGCATCATTATCAGTCACGAGGTAGGCATCATTATCAGTCACGAGGTAGGCATCATTATCAGTCACGAGGTAGGCATCAGCAAAGTAATGTAAAATATGAAATTAAAAAAAAAAAAACAGATATAGTAGTAAAAAAACATTGATATTACCAACACATCAAACAAATTACTAACCTTCATTTTTTTCCATTTTTTTCCTGCTGCGCCACAAAAGCCGAATGGGTGTACCAGGAAATCCCGCATTTGAACGCAGCTGCTTCTCCATAAAGCGGCGGTAAGTTTCAGGAAAAAGTTTTGCATCATTTACAAAGAACACAAATGTAGGCGGCCTTATAGCAGCCTGCAAGAGGACATCTAGTAAGGAACTAAGAACATACAAGATACCGAGTAATTATACATTATATAAGTTGTGAGAGCTTAAAGCTCAACCCAAGGAACTCGAGTAATTATACATTATATAAGTTGTGAGAGCTTAAAGCTCAACCCAAGGAACTCGAGGGTAAGCATTACCGACGTTGGATGATGTAAATACCTGAGTGCAATAGTAAACACGTCCTCTTTTTCCACCTCGTGTCCTGGGAGGAGGCTTAAAAGTTACTGCTTCCTGCACAACTTGATTCAATATAGAAGTACCCAGTCTTCTTGATCTCTCTTTTTCCACTTCACTAGCAGCAACAATGATCCTTTTTGTTCAAAACAATAATAACAAATCAGCTACTCAGTTAGGGGGTTAACAACAATGAAAAATATCAGACCTGGATAAGTCGTAATTTTAAGATTTATAAATTATAGTAACAAGTTTATTGTCTACACCCAAGCAAACTCATCAACCAAAGATTAATTGCATGATGCAGCCAGTAAAGCAAAGTTGGCCCAAAATTAAATAGAAAAGATCCCAAAAAACAGCCTAGTTTTAAGTCCATTTTCATGTGCATCACTTACACCCCAGAAATGACAGAAATTTATTTTGCCACACATCAAGAAATACTATGCATAGTATATAAAAAATAATAAACTCTTAATCTGATCCTCTGAAATTTTTGCTTCCATTTTAGTCCTTCCAAGATTTTCATCACCAGATTAGTCTCTCAAAACAGACAGACAGGAGCTGAGGAATCTGCCTAGATATCCTCCCAACATTGGTTCGTAATCATTCTCCCCAGACCCCTTTTTCCATTATAAATATGTTGATCAAGGCTCAGTGAAAGGTACATAATTTTAAACCATTTTCTATTCCCACCCATTCTCATACTGACTTGAGCCGAGCGTCAAAGTACTTGCAGATACTACCCCCTATCTTCGAAGAGACGAAGTGCTGTCATTCTTGTTCAATCAACTCGGCCAATGTCTTCGGCCCACTCCGGATCAGATACAAAACTGTCACCAAATTCACATCTTTAAGGACTAATTCAGAGGCAAAAATCTTGACGACTACATTCTAATATCAAATGTCATAACACGCTAATCTTAGGAGGACTAAATTAAAGATTTACTCTCCACAAAATTCTGCAAAGAGGATGATGATTTGACTGTTACATAAAGTTTACCATGACCACAACAATTGAACTGCTTTTACTATTTTGTTGAAAAGCATTGCATATGCTTAGCATCATTCATCATGTCAGATTCAAATTCATATTTGTCTATAAATATGTATTCCTAAGAAAGAATAACTTGTTTTAAAGACAAAATGGGGAGATTTCAAAGAAAACATGAAATTAACATACTATGTGGTAGAGTAAACAAAGGTTTTCCAGCCAAAACTTACTTGTCAACATTATGGCCAGCTAGAGCAGTAGAATAAACAACAGGAGCCCAGTTAAGTAAACGAAGCTTCTCTCTGACATCTTGCTCATAGTGTGATGCAGTCTGCTGGTTTTTATCAGGTATTGTATCCCACTTGTTTACAACAATCACACAGCCTTTGCCTTCTTTTTCTATTCTTTCAGCTATCTTGTAGTCCTTTGAGATATATGAAATAGTTCCGTGAAAAAAAACTTCAAAATGACTGGAAAACATCAATATTTAAACAACTGGCATGCCATTTACATCCAAGGCTATTTTATGCAGTAATGCCTTATTATAATCAGAAGTAAAAACATATCTATTTTTCATATATAAAAACACTGATTGGAAACCTGTTCAGTGATACAAGCCAAGGCCTCAATGACAAGAGCAACAACATCAGAACGACGAATAGCGCGAAATGCTCGATTCACTGACAAAGCCTCTGTTGTACTTCCAGCTGAGGCTACAGTTGTCCTTTTCCTGATTCCAGCAGTATCAATAAGATGGAACTTCTAGAGTAAGAAAATAAGAAAATAATTATCATGTTGAACTAAATTCTAAAAGCTTACGATTCACTATTACAAGCTGGCAGTCCAAAGATATAAAGCAATAAACCAACAAAGTTTGGTTGGGAAAAACCTATAACTAACTGATCTTTTTCAAAACTTCTTTCTTGCAACACATGCTAAAACACTTTAAAGTAGTCACTGGGTTATTGTTACACTAGAAACCAAATAGTTACTAACTAATAAGTCGCCAAAAGAAACAAACCTGGCCATCTGCTCCAATAAATTCAGTATCAATAGCATCACGTGTAGTGCCACTGATGGGGCTGACTATAGTTCTGTCCTCACCAACCAGTGCATTTAAAATGCTACTTTTGCCAACATTTGGTCTACCAACAATAGAAATTGCTGGAATATAATCTTCTTCTTCAACAAGATTCTCTGGCTCCTGTTGTATAGCATAAAATGAAGTATAAGTAAGAAAATTATGGGTTTCAAAAGAAAGATTAAAACCAGTTGATCTGAGGTTGTATGGTGATAAGAAAAAATGCTTTCAAATAAATAACTTATTATTGGTTGGTGAATGAGTAATATAGTCAAATCAACTTGGTAAACAACAAAAAGTATCACCTAAAGTTACTCATTGTCAATGATACATGCTGAAGAGAATTCAATATTTATGGAAAACAAACCTCAACTTTCTGTATCCCTGAACAAACAAGGTCAAGAAGCTCTCCAGTTCCAGTCCCTGATATTGCTGATACTGGGATTGGTTCAAACCTGATATATCAGAAACCACAGCAAGGAACTTGTGAATTAGTACATATGCTACTTGGGAAAGCACTAATAAACAACATGATGCAAGAGCTTAGCATTGGCAGTATAACTACTCAGTCGTGGCTTTGAAAGCATAAAACATGGTTTTGTGCGAAAATAATACGTAGTTTTATTTTTCGATTCTTTATATCAATTTCAAAATTAAAAACCATATTTTTGAAGTGAAAGATTGTTACTTTTGTGTTTAGTTGAGAATTCTGAACAAAGTTTTACTGCAAAATTACTTTTAATATTAATTGTTTCAAATATAAGTTACTTCACTTAAAACTTAATATTAACCAAAATCAATTTTGTATAACACACATTAAACAAGTTAATCCCCTCATACAAAGCTTTCAAGCTCCATCACCGCTTATGCTTGACCAAAATTACACTCTACTCACGCCATATTAAGAGGAGTCATGAAGATGCATGCACCTAGTAAAAACTAAGGTAAATTTTAACACATAAGGGTCTGTCTATAATTTTATTAATTTACCAATATGCAAGTTGAATTAACCAAACTTAGTTGAACATTAACATCACCATAATTAATTAGTCACATGAACTAGCTAGTTATTAAAAAAGCTAATTATCATGCCAACATAGTGGATAATTTGATTCCTTTAGTAGATTAGATGTTGACAAATGTGAGGTAAATGTATTCAACACCGCCTTAGACCTTGAATGTCTCTTGAAATATGTACACGATTAATTCATGCTTGTTGAAGCACACTTAAAAATCATATCCATGAATTTGACACAGAAATGAAAAATAACACATACCACAGATTAAGTTTTAGTCCTAAGGGTCAATGTCAATAAAACATCAAAAGAAGTGAGTTTTTTATTTATTAAAGTATGTGTCAAGACCAAGTACCACAGTAGTATTTAACCACACCTCAAGCATGTATCCTCCATCAAAATTTCTTACCCAAGGGCCCAAAATTCAGACGCCTGCATAATTCTTTTCTTTGGAGATTCACACTTGTTAACTGCTAGAATGATAGGTTTGTTTGAGTAGTTTTTACGTAGCCAATCAGCAATCTCCACATCAGCTGCTATTAGACCTGCCTGTTAAGCATAATTATCATTATTGTAAAGCTTATCGTATCATGCACTTTAATAAGTATAAGAACAAAAAATTGATATCTCATTTTGATAGTGCACAACTATGTTCTCTGTAGTCAGTAGCCAGATTGGTACCACAAATAACTCCCTGGAGACAAACAACTAAAAGCTTTGAAGATTAAGCCAGACTATAGAATTCAAAAAATATTGTCTAATTAGGATGGTGCACAAGGAGGAACCGCCCCGTGGTTAATAAATATCAAAACCCAAAACAAGTAAGACCCACTTTTTAAACATCACTTTATCCTTGTATAATATTACAATAAGTATCAAGAGAAAGTAGATACAGACATGTAAAAGAAGGAAAGATATAAGATTTTATAAGCAAAACAAACAAAATACCTGACCATCAACCAGGAAAACAATAACAGATGATTCTTCCACAGCTGCAATTGCTTGTTTCTCAATCATCGATGGCATCCTAGCAACAGCTGCTTCTCTAGAGGCAAGGGGAATACCATCCATACCAATTGTCGTAGTAATATCCAGGTCTTCCATAACCGTAGATTGCGATTTTGAAACAGTTATAACACCCCCGGTGTCTACCACCATGAACTCATGATCTCCCCAAAATGATCGGCCATATAAACGGTCCCTCGTAACCCCAGGTTCATCCACCACAATTGCCTTGTTACCCTACAATTTAAGCAGAAAGGAAACAATTTAATCATTAGAAATTTCCAAATGTTAATTTCCCAGAACATGTAAGAATCAACAAGAATAAACAAAGCTATAAAAAAACATTCAATACCCCAACAAGACGGTTAAATAATGCTGACTTGCCAACGTTCGGTCTTCCAACAATAGCAATCCTTGGGAGAAGATTGTCGGGGATCTACCATTCAAAATAGAGGAAGGTTCAGCAAATGACCCTAATATAGTTCAATCTTTTCGAAACAAAATATACAATTCAAGTTCTAATTAGTTACAAACACAGTTTTTTCGCCTCAATTTTTTCGGTCAAAATAATACTAATGTGTTATAGAATCTATCAAATTGAACAATAAACAAACAATTTTTTTCTTCGGTTTACTCCTCCTGGAGTTTTTAGCGGTTTCTCTCGCATCAGTTATCTCATCTTCTGAAATCATCGAACACAAAAAGATGATAGTTAAAAACTGCAAAACACAAGTAACTGCAAATGAAGGTAACAGCTACTGACCTATAGTCAAAATGCGGGATAGAGAGGTTGAATACTCCAGTGCAGCTTCCTTTGCTTCTTGCTCGAGAGCGACGACATCGACGTCTTCGTCGTCGGAATAATCAACCTGATGGTCTAATTCTAATTCTAATTCCTCAGGAAGTTCAAGCAATTCGTCGTCGTTGATGGAGGCTGAGAATTCGGCGGCGTTGGAATGCGGTATGGAGCGGGGGAAGCTCCGGGAAGGGAGTGAGGTGAATCTTGGTGGGGAAAGCGGCGAGGAAAGTGTTGAAGTGGAAAAGGGAAAAGTGGTTGGGGTTTTGGGGAGGGTGCAGAAAGAGATGGGGGTGAGAAAGAGTGAGTGGGAAATATGTGCCATTGGTGAAATGAAATTGTGAGGATTGAGTTGAAGATTTGGCGGGGCGGGGGTTTATCGCCTCCATTCTCATCAATTCGGATTTTCCACACTAATAAGATAACATTTTTAGTTAAACCGTAATATATTTATTTTAAATAGAAGATTAAAAATATTTAGATTAATAATATTTTTTTATATCAATTTTAGATTATAAATATTTAGATTATAAATATTATTTTTCGTATATAAAAATATTTAAATTAATAGTAATTTTTTTATATATAATTATTATTTTTATTTAAGTACTATTTGTAAAAATATCTTAATTAATAGTAAATTTTCGTATATAAAAATATTTTGTTAAATAAGGATATATATAATATAGTTTGATTTCTAAATTCAAAGTTGTTCCTTCATATAAATAATGTCTTTAGGTATAAAAGCATGTGAATAGGGGTGGAAATAGGCCAGACCGACCTACAGGAGTATATGGCCTAACCTATTTAAGGTTAGGACAGGTCAGACTTTTTTAATAAAAAAGTCAAGCTTAGGTTTTTTTAAAAATATATTTAATTAAATAGGTCAGGCTTAAACTATTAAAAAAGTCTATGAAATCTTATAGGTTGGTCTATATTTTCATATATATTAAAAGTAGGTTAAATAGATTAACATATATATGCATATATATTAGAAAAAAGACTAAATAAGTTGGCCTATATATATGTATATACATTAGAGCAAAGGATAAATAGGTCGGTCTATATATGTATATATAGGTCGACTTATAAGGTTTCTTAAGTAATATCGATTAATTAAAAATCTTAATGAGAAACATACATTTAAATAGACTTTCAGGTCAGATCAAACTTTTAAATAGGCCAGACCATATCAAATAAAAGAGTCTATAATAGGTCATAGGCCAAGATTAGGTCTATTAAGTTTATCGTAGGTCAGACTCAGACCTTATAAAGCCTAGTCTAGCATATTTCTACCCTTACATGTGACTGACTAAAAGAAACTGATAGAAGTCAAACCACATATAATTGGTATTGCATGTATGACACACTACTATATATACATTAAAACCTAAATTTCATGAGTTTTCTGCATAAATATATACTTTTTCTACACCATCAATCCATCAGTGTGTAATATATACTCAAAGTCAATATATACATTAAAAACTTTATGAAGTTGGGTTTAGAAATGGTAAGTGCTTTTGAAAACTTATGGTGCATCAGTATCCCTTTTTATAGATATATAGTTCCATTGTAATGAATTATAAATCATATGCATTGAACGGTTCGAACCTACGCAACAACTGAGTTGCAAATATTAACATCAGCCCTCTATGTAGAAGGATGCTAGAACATGCACACATAAATTAGACCAACACATAACAATAGCATAATTTACTCGAACATAGTGAGTCGTCAATGAAGCAAAACATAATTGATCAAATTGAGCTAAGAAACATGTTAGGCACACAACTAAGCTCCATGCAGAGACGCATATTCCGTTTGATTAAATTGACACATTGTCTAGTCCATACCAAATAAACAAAATGTGAAAGGTTAAAACATGAAATAGAAAATTGAACCAATATAATCTACTTGAGAAGAATCAGATCCACGCAAATAAACAAAATGTGAAAGGTTAAAACTAAAAGGATCAAATGCAACATTATATTTTCGAAAAAATTAGAAGAGATAAAACATAATATAGCATTCAACAATGATTTGTGCGAGGCTTCTCATACCTTTACATATAGCATATTTGAGTTGATGATATAGAGTAAAACAATGCAGTTGTTGCCTTAATTTCAAGTATTGGAGGATTATCCCATAAAACTTCATGTGGACTAAAAGGCATGAAAACTAACCCCTAAAAGATCATTTAAGATACTTTGTGATTATATACTGATGGAAGGAAATAAACTAAGATACTGAATATAATATCAAATATAGGATTAGTTATTTTCTTATACTCTAAACATACAAAATGAAAATTCAATCATAAAAACATTAAAGGTGTATTATTCATGCAAGGCACACAAAAAGGTCACTAATCAAATACATACCTTCCCTAGCTCAACTCCCCACTGATCAAAAGAATTGATGTCCCATATAAAACCTTTTACACCAATTATGTGTTCATATATTTCCAACAACTGGGAATGCTTAAGAACTATTATTAATGTTAAGAACTCAACTTATACAGAAAAATCAAATATATAAGTTCATGAAGCATTTAATTGTAACATATTTAAGGTCAAGAAGGACTTACAAAGTATTTATAACAAAGATTAGTTCAGGGGCTTGATACTACTTACTATTATTGATAAGTATGTGGATCTGATTATAAACTTTTTTACTTTAGAAACCTATTTGAAAATCCTTAAATAGTTCGGGACCACTTAGTAATTAAACAATTTAAACCTTATTAATAAATTTACTTTTTGTGTAAAAAAACTTGTGTTAATAATTTTTGAACATGTTTATTTTTCAAGGTTCAGAGCATCTGAGTATATCATATACATAAACATCTCAAAATTTCCAAACACTACGACTGTCACACTCCAATGTATAATTTTCATCAACTACTGGTTATGCATGCCACAATGAAAGAAAAACAATTGGAATAAGAATTTGGGGACAAATATGTAACTTCAATATACTGGTCAATTGCTACGTTTACTACAACAGGCTATGGATACCTATATGCAGAGAACACCATAGAGATGTTGTTTGATATCGCTGATATGTTGTTCAACTTGAGTTTAACATCATACATCGTTGGAAATATGACTAACATTGTAGTTCATTGGACCATCTGCACCCGAAACTTTGTAAGTACTTTCAATATTAAGCTTCTTATACTGCTGCTCAGTTTTCTTGTGACAACCACTTGTTATGGTTTTACTTAATATTATACATATTTTGGACTAAATTCATATTATCATTCAACAATGCCCTTCAAAGTCATTATCCAAACCAATGTCCAAAAAGCTAATTCTATATTTTCAAAAACAAAAATCGTTTAGACAAGAGGAAATGTATTTCTTTCACTATAAATAAGAGAGGATTCATTTTGGTCACAAAGGGATTGTTAGACGACGGAAGCGTATCTAGAGGGGGGTGAATAGATACCCCTTTTAAAAATTTGTTCAAAAATCTAGTTTTGAAAAAGTTGTTTTTATCAAAGAGCGACGCAAAAGCTTTTTCAAAATGTCGTCTATACGAATATTATTGAAAACTCGGATATGCAAACCGTAATAAAAAATTCAATATGGAATAAGAATAACAAATTGAATTGATATACTTTAATCACTTAACAGCTTATTTAAGGTTTATCACAAGTTACTAGTAAAGCTATTTCCAATGGCAATATTAAAAGAACTGGTTGAATTAATTTATCAAACACTTGGTGTGCAAGTGAATTTTCAGAAATTTTCTTTTGATTGTGTTGATACACAAAACCACTTATAATTAAAAGTGATTATAAGCTATATCAACACTTGATTTACAATCAAAAACCAGTTTGGAAAATTCTTACAATTTAATTGATAATACAATGTTATTTGACAAATTGATTAATGAATATCAAAGCAAGTAAAAGAAAAAATAAAAGAGACACAAGGAATTTGTCTTCACAGTTCCCCACTATCATCCTTGCATGTGGGTAAGTCCACGCCTAATTCTAATGAAATTATGATAATTCTTACTATGCAATATTGTTGATACAAGAGAAGTGTTTAAGAGCAACTCCACAAACCCTAAACTTGTTGTTGATTGAACCCCTTCTCCTCTTTTAATCTTGAGAAAGACCAAGACACAATAGATGCAAATTGACTATCTAGATCTTGCTACTCCTTTGAATTCTTTATCTCTAAAGCTTACGTGCACCGTCAATTTCATCTATTACAACACAAGACTTCAATTGTAATATGTCGTTCTCACACTACTTCCTTTGTGTTCTTTATCTCTAAAGGATCCTTTGTGTTATTCATCTCCAAACGAATTCACTTGGCCCTAATTACCCCTCAAACGTCTTGCACAAAACCCCCCAAATCAACCAATGATCTTGGAGGACAAACCCGTGATTTTTCCTGGATGAAAACCCCTACAAAGCTCAACCCAATACACAATTGGACACTATCAATCCTCGTCTAGATGGAACCCCAACAAAATATAGTTACAATGTAATTGTGTATATGTATAGGTTGAGGTTGAAGATGAAGAGATAAATAGGTTGATTTTATGGTTTCACCAAGTAATGAATGATGCATGAAAGAGTATTTATAGTTTTGGAACTTTTAGGGCAAAAAGGACAAATTTGGAATTAAAAAGATTTGGAAACACTGACCAAACAAACATAATGTGTCGACCTATATATCATATGTGTCGAGACATACATAAGTTTTAAAATGTATGTATCGACATGTATAAGGCTATGTGTCGATCGAAACAAGTCAGAGGCTACATGCTTTAAAACTATAGTAAATGTGTCGACCTGAAAAATGGATGTGTCGACACATAAAATAAGAATTTCTACAATTTCATAAATGCTTCAATATGTGTCGACCTATACAATGCATGCATCGACCTGATTCTTCCAGAGGCTACAGGCTTCAAAAATGAGTTGCATGTGTCGACCTGAAAAGTGGATGTGTCGACACATGCAATAAAAAATTATGCAGAAAACTGTTTTTAATGACTTGGATCAATTTTAAAATGATTTTTAATGATTCTTAAGACCTCTAATGCAGAGGAGTTCCACAAGACATAAGGATGCCATCCAATATACATAAGTGGAAGCTTTTCACTTTTTATATCATTTAAAACTTTTGATGACAAAGTTGTACTCACATACTCCCACTTTTTTATGATGGCAAAACTTGCGACGATGCATTTCTTGTATTTATTAAAGGCTCCCCCTAACTTTGTGCTTCTCTAATTCAACTTGCATATACTTCTCCCCTTTTGACAACATAAAAAAGAAAGATAGCAAACAGTGAGACG